GGTCTGCCATGTATTGGTGCTGATCTGAGGTCTGCCGGGCAGGTTGCTGACCCCTGCCCTACAGTATCATACTAGGGATGATGGCAACAGTTACTGCAAATGGGGACTTGGGCTCTCAGTAGAAACCCTGGGAACATATCTGTAGTGCCATGGTTTAGCAATGCCCCGACAGGTGTCATCATTTGCTTGTTTGTCTATATCAGCATAGGTTACTTTTAAGCCATCATTTGTCACATTTGCAAGTGGAATAATGTGTTTTGTATGCTCAGTGGAGCTAAATCGATGCAGTCTTCGCTGGCCCACATGTAAATAGAGTCCTTGCCTGAGTGATGCATATTATCATGAATAGAGATCAGAGACCTCCTGGTGTACAGGGACAAAAAGTGCAGCTCTTTTGGTATTTGGTCAGTGTTGAAATAGTTACCCTGAGACTTTATTTTTTATTTTTTACTTTTGGTTCAGAAGGAGGTAAATTAAAGTATTTATTTGATCATTTATTTCCTGATATATTCCAAGAACGATATAGCTGCTTTGGAATTAATGAGAACGCTAATGTGTGCATAGCAGTGCAGGTGTGCTTATTAGCAGTTTTGAAAAAACGGTTTCCCTTGTAATGCCCTGTTCACATGATTTTCAGGTTCCGGATCAGGTGCGGATCTGCAGACGCGGATCTGCAGACGCGGTGCTATCAGGCTAAGCAATCGATAGCCGACGAATCGACGATCGAAAACGTTGCCAACGTTTTCAATCGTCGATTTTAATCGACTTAATCGATTAACTGTTGCAGCTCTAATGTGTTTTGGCCGCGTTTTTGATGCGTTCCAGTAAAGGAAAAAACACTTTTTTTGCCACGTTTTGCGTTTCCTGACCGTACAAAATGTGACATGCAGTATTTTTTTTGTCTTAACCTGAACGGACTGCGCACGTGAGAACTGTAGCCCATAAAACACATAGGGATACTTTGGGGTGCATTTTTAGTGCAGGAGCGTACGGAGCCGGTCAGCACAGAAAACGGACGTCGTGTCAACAGGCCCTAAAGATATATACTTAATTCACAATTGTATTCCATGTTGCAGCTGTGCAATCCAGGGACGAGATCAGCACCCTCCAGGTCATATTAACCACTTGCTGCCCAGAGCAATTTCTTAAATTTGCACACACCTGATAAAATCTGAATTTTTGGCTAGAAAACAGCTTCAGATCCCCAAACAATTATCTATTTTCTGAAAGCAGAGGTCCTGTAGAATGAAAATATGCTAGTTTTTTATGTCGCACGATATTTGCGCAAATGTTTTTCATACAAGTATTTTTAGGATAACATACCCTAAAATGAAATTTAGTGCACAGAAACTGAATATAATAACTAATTGGGGTCACGCCGGGTAAATGGATACCAAACATGTCAAGCCTTAAAATGACGTGCTTCCGTGAAACCGCAAAAAACTACATTAGCAAAAATGTCCCATAGGTGACGCTTTAAACGCTTTTACTGCTCATCAGTTTTAGTGTCAACAGTGCTTGATGGGCCTAGAATTATTGCTCTTACTCCGACGCTCACGACGATATGTAACATGCATGGCGCAATTTTCATTTTTGCACGTAGGCGCATCCAACGCGTGTTTGCACGTAGGGGGCGGGGGACTTTTAACATGTTTCTTTTATCTGTTCATTTTTACAAATTTTTTTTTTTACACAACGTTATTGCTATCTCACAGGGGGCTAACAAGCCCCCTATGTAATAGCAAATAGAATGTGACAGGTCCTCTTTATGGAGACATCAGAGGTCTTTCAGACCCCTAATGTCGCCTAGAGACCCCAAAGAAGCGGATGAAGCAGAGATCTGCTTCACCAGCTTCTTCTGGCTCTAGGAGCCGGAGAATGTGCACAGTGACACCGGACGTGATGTAATGCACATCGGCTGGAAGCCTGCTGATCTCCCTCCGATCTATCAGTAGAGACTCACCATGCCGGTCCTGGGCTCGCACGGAGGACGACAGGTTCTCCTCACCGGTGGGCATCTGCTGCAGGGGTCGGTGCCGGTATGATAGGAAAAAAAGAAAAACTTTAGCTCTGCTTTGGGTAAGATAAATAGTTAGATGTTAAAGCCAAATCTTCTGCCCGGCTCCTGGAACCGCATGTCCGGAGTGTCGGGCAATAAGAATTGCTCACCCCTGGTGCAAGCACTGAACGAGCTGACAAAAGCCTAGATGCCAGGACTCCATTTTTAGGCACCAGTCATGGGGAGCGGTCCAATCATCCATTTCACTTTTGGGACTGCAGCGTAATACTGAATCTGAGAACTATATTGCATATTTCAGCCACCCACAGATATAACTGCGGTATACCTTATTCGTGGTCTACAGTTTAATTGCGATATGTGTAAGGACTGAAGAAATGGAATCGTCACACAGAGTTGATTCTGCAGCTCCCTACTGGCATCAGCTTGTCGGTGTCTATGAGAAGAACCTGCTGTGGGAGGACTAATCCTTTCATGTTTCTAAAGCTGTAACTGAAGGATGCATTTTATCAAACCTGATTTAAAGATAAATGCAAAATAAATTACTTTTGTCAGGGAGATGTTTTGCATACATTTATTGTCCTTTTATGTGCCTGCTATTTGTTAGCTTCTGTGTTTGTGAACATTTGATTTATATGTTATTTCCTTTTATAATATGACTTTTCTAGGTAAAAAAAGGTGCATTGTATTAAATAACACCTACGCTAAGTTCTTATTTTTGCCTCTAAGGTCTCATTCACACTGATAAGAGCCGGCCGTACAGATCCGTGCGTCGTGCACCTCCGTATCGGGCTGCTCCCGGGAAGGACAGGTGTTACATGTGATTGCACGCAGCAGGCTGTTCTTCTCCTAAGGGAGTACACTGGCGTACACTACAGTATGCTCACTCGAACTGCACATCCCTCCGGGTGTCCGTACTCGTACGCAGACAGTATGGATCACACACAGCAACTGTGCTGCGCGGGAGCGGCCCAATATGGTAAAACAAACCGCCAAAGTAGCATTTTAGGTCTTTTGTGAAGCCCTTTGTTGCTTTTGATACTTTGTAAAAGATAACTGCTCCACACTGGTGCTTACTAAAATTACTTATCTTCAACATCTTTTTTTTTTTTTTTTTAAAGAGGAACTCCGGGAATCTAAAATGTCAACCCTTGTAGTGGGGCTACACTCGCACTGCAAGGGTTAACTACTCATTTTGATCTTGGGGCTAGGTCAACAAAAATATGCTTTCCTGATCCTCGATCCTGCCTGGCTGCTTGACCGGTCCCTGCAGCCTCTTCTCCCTCGTGCTCTGGTGGTCTAAGAACCCCATGACGTCATTGTGTCTAATGCAAGTCCATTCACCTGCATTAAATGTGACGACGCCAAGGGACATACCACAGCCGGAGTAAGTGGGGAGAGAAGTGAGCGCCAACCTCAAGTGAGTATATGTTCTGTATTCTGGCCCCTAAGAAAAAATGAGCAGCTCACCCATGCAGTGCGGAGGTAGCCCCCCTGCAAGGGTTAACTTTTTTTTTTTTTTTTTTAAACTGCAGTTCTTTATTAAGCACTCAGTGTGAAGAGTTAAACTTATCTAAAGCCAAAACCTTTTGTCACTTTGGATGGAGTATAGAATGATTGATCACACCAGCCACTGTGCTAAATTGCAGAGCGGCTGGTGTGCAATGCCCGGCACATCGCAGTGTGTGCTTTTGGGTTTTTTGTTTAGAACTTTATTGAAAAGTGACATTTCATTCACTTCCATGGGCCCATCATGGTGCAAGGCGGTTGCTCTGCGTCTTATCCCACTGTGCTGGAAAAAAAGTACAGCATGCCTTACTAGTTTCAGCTCAACGCACACCACCTCGTTCCCACTGCAATGTGGTGATGGGAATTGTGCCCATCTGTGACAGAGCAAATTGCCTTGTCTTGGAAAAATGGCCACCTCAGTCCTGACGCATCGACTTTCAAACATCTTGTCTTTTTTACTTCCTCTCACGTCTGTGCCCCATTCAGGGGATTGCCCTTTATTCCTGTCCTATAGACACAACAGCAAGTGAGAGATCTCTCCAAAGTGAAGTAAAACGCTGGTAGACAGATGTCCCAGGATAGGAACCCCCATTGAATGATTTTCACTTTCTTCTGTTCTGGTCATAGTTAGAATTTTGTATTTGCTTTTATTTTCAGTCCCAGTGACAACGGTCACCAGGTCAAAAAGAGAGGATAAATCTCCCTAAGGGAGAGTACAGCATGCCTAAGTTTCCATGTCTATGACCCCCCAAAGGGGGGTCATAGACATGGAAACAAGCAAAAATAGTTGTAAAGTAGTCACCGCTCCAAGCTCGCTCCCGTAATGTACTACAAACTCATGTTTAGTTTACTAATTTGTATTGAGATTGTAGTCCATCACAGGAGTGAGCTTGGAGCGGTGGCTACTTTACAACACACGCAGGGACCATGGGGAACAAAAGTAGTCACCCTCAAGAAGGAGTGTCAACACAGCTTCAGAGATTATTTGAAGATCTACAGCTGAGTGATGCACAAATTAGATAAAAGTACTTGAATACATTTTTACATGTGATGTGATTTTTGATGTGAGGACGGCCTTCTGGTCTGATCCCTCCACACTGTCCGGGTCTCATTTTTGGACGAGCTCTGAACTAGTACTGTGGCTTGACCTGCTTTGGTATTTCACTGCGGCATGGGCTCCACATGTTTTCAACTAATAAATAAAAAAAACAGTACAAAGAGGAATAATTACTGCAATAACTGAATTTGTTTTACTACTCTGACAGCCTAAACCCCAAAAAGTATTCCCGGTGGTCATGGATGTTCGATATGTAACAGGGATACTAGGTGTTTATCTTTTGTACTGGTGGTCTTAATCATTGGCTACATTGGATTCTCATCGATTAATCAATTAGTTGGCTTCAGTCCTAAAAAAAACATTCGTGTTTTAATAGGGACCATAGAAGTTAGGCCCCGTTCACATATAGCGAATTGTCGCGCGATTTCCGCCGCGATATCGCGCATTTTTGCCGCGCGATATCGCGAGAAGTCGCCGGCCAATGTTATTCAATGGAGCTGTCTTAACTCCATGTCGCTCGTCGCAAGTCGCTTCTACCGGACCCTTTTTTCGGCGGATTTTGCGCGATTTTGCTTTTCTTCTATGGAGCCCGACGGGGAAGATCGCGCTACCGTCGCTGGATCGTCGCTGGAACGTCGCCCCGAAAGTCGCGCTATCCCGGCCGTGCGGATCCGCTGCAAAAGGTATGTCGCTATATGTGAACGGGGCCTTAAGGTTAACAGTAGCTTAAGAAAAAAAAAGTGATGCAGGGCCTAGTAGATGCAACCACAGTGATCAGCGGGAAATCAAGAATGCAGAAGGGATGCACCGAAATTTTGGCCGCCGAAACATTTTGGAAAATAGTACTATGGGCAAAATGCCGATAGTACGGTAACGGCCGAAATGCCTAGCCACCGGTCTTTGTCCCCTCCGATTCCCGCTGGTCTCCCGCGCCTGTTTAGGCAGAGGCAGTGGGGATCCAGGGTGACACAGAGGATCCAGCTGCCAGCACCAAGCAGGGAGGAGAGAAGCTTTCTGGAGGGCGAGCGGGGCAGTGCGAGGAGGAAACAGCTCTCAGGATGCCGGGCAGTACGGGGAGAAGACAGCTGTCACGGAAAGCCAAGCTCTTATCCTGCACTCCTGTGAGAGGCAAGTTAGGATGGAGAGCGGGTTACAAGCACTCAGAACTGATCGCTGAGTGTTTGTAAATAACTGAGAACATGGCATGCTTACTGTGTCCCCAGTTATTAATGAACAAGTGCTCTACATCACTTCCTGTTCATTTATGATTGTGGACATAGTAACCCATACTAGCTCCGCAGTTTATGAATGGAAAGGAACACTCTCAGTAAAGAACCTTCCTGTTCATTTATAACGGGGGCTGCAGAAAAAGAGATTTAGGACTCTTTTTCTCTTTTTCTATTTTAAAACAGGCCCATGATCTTTCCTCAAAGCCCAGAATGGTAAAGTAAAAAAAATGAATACAAATAAAATATATAAAACATTTTTTAAAAGGTTGTTCTGAAAAGTAAATTTCAGTTTTGGTCTAGCAATTTTTTATTTTCGGTTTCGGTCTAAAAATTTCATTTCGGTGCACCCCTACTCTTTAGTAGTGATGGAGAGCGGAGATCAGCAGCGCAGGTGGCTGGACAGGTGAGTATCTCTTTAATTTGCATGGTTAATTTTTTTTTTTTTTGTGTGACAGTCACTTTAACCCAGATAATATTTTAGAAGAGGGACAGTTATCTTTGATTTGCTACTAACATTTTGTTCATTGGATTTGATGTTTGTCTTGTTTCGTGATCTTGCTAGGATAGTTGTACCATCTGTAATGTGCTATTTTAATAGCACTTAATTCATGTTGTGTTTGCTGTTGCCATTTTTTTTACATTTTACTCGTTTTCTCCACATCTTCATCTTTCATTCTCTCTCCCGCTATCGTGCAGAGAGTTCGTCCAGGAAGACAAAATCTGCTTGGGATGAGAGTAGGCACGAGACCTATGGTAAGATCTAGTTGCCAGCGTGGATTTTTGCCACCTGCACATGCATTGCTGTGTCTTTAACTGTGTGCATTTGCATGGCATTCTGTGTCTTGGAGCGAGGGACTATGTGGCTTTGAGTTCTCCTGCTATTGCTTTAAAGCATGCCTTTTTAATATGCTTTTCTGTGGCGGTCCTATTCATAGCTTTACAACTGTCCACTGAAATAATCTAAAAACCTAATCATCTTTTAATTCATTTTTTTTTCTCTGGGTTCTGCAAGGAATGCCAATTCTTTAAAAATCCTTCTTGTAACTTTGTATTAAAGTTGTTATTTTGATTTGTTAAAGTTTGTTTTTGTGTAGTAACTTGTTTGTGTTACACATGATTGTCATTTAATCAATTAGTAAACTAATGATATTCAGGAAGCACTTCTGTTGTGGGAAGTCAAAGATTTTACTCAATTTATCTGAATTTTAAGTTTTTGTTTTTTTGTTTGTTTGCAGTTTATGGTAAATGTGTCAGAAACCTGAACAATTTAAGCTGAGTATACTATTAAAACATGCATAAGCAGAAGTTCCATCGAGTGAAAATGCCATCATTTCAAAATAATCATTAGATTAGAGCTCTAGACAGCTGAAGTTATATTCAGACTTTTTTTTTACTTTTCCACTAAAAGCTTAGCTTGCCACCCTCCCACCTCTATGGCCCTTTATTACAATGGGCAGCCTTACTGACAAGTAGGGATCCTGGGGAGATGGGAAAGGCACGCACAAGATTGACTTTGAAAAGCTGGCCATACACTGCTTGGCCAAGTCCTTCGATTTTTGTTTTTTTCTGATAACATTAATGGTGGTTTTACCATATGTCTGGGCTATGCTGAAGTTTTTTGCCCTTTTATTCCGAACTGTGAAAGCTTCCTTCTCGGCAGTGCTTCCAGAAACCAATAGTGGAGGCTGATCAGGGTGTGAACAATTGCCTTGTGAATAAGCATGTGCTTGAATAATTAGAACAGGGGATGTCAGAATCACAACAACCAGATCATTTTTGGGTTTGGTGACCTGCTACTCTGTCAACATCAGTGTGCAAAGGAAAAGCCAAATGATCATATGTACAGGTACCTCATGCTTGGCTCTTAAGAATGTGGAAGTCAATCAATCTGTATTCCTGGACATGTTTAACCACTTCAGCTCTCACACGCATTGTTTTACATATTTGGTATGGACCTGTTTATTCAGCAATATCTTTCTTTTTTTTTTTGTTCAGGACAAACAAAACTTTGTAATGGTAATCTTGTCTTGAGCAAAATAATATTACTATGGTATACCTTTTAGTCTATACTTTTTCATTTCAAATGACACAAAATGTCTTATTCTGGTACAAAGCATTGATAAGTTATTTGTTTTCAGTTCAACTTTTTGAAAATGTGATCACACGGCTCGCCTGATGAAGGGACTTTTTTATGGTTCCTAAACGTTTCATTTATTGTGATACTATGACCATGTGATGTCATTAAAGACACTCTTAAAGGCACTCTTAAATACTTTTCTTTTATTTAGGTCTTAGAACGATTTCCATATGCCATATTTCAAATTCATCTAAGAAAAATGAACATTTTAAATATTGTAGCCCTAAAATATATGCAAAATCACGTATTAAATGTATTCTACAAATACTTTTTTCTTATCCTTCCGCTAATGTCTGCACAACAGACTTATGACTGATAGGCGGTTTTGCACTGAGCTGAATAGGTTCTGTTGCTCTAAATACAAGAAGGGGGAAAGCATGTAGATGCCTCAGTAATGCTTCCAACAGTGAGCAAGGATGTGTGACGGGAATCTTCTATGTCTGCCTTTTTGCACTAGGGTGCCTTCTGCCTTCACCAGGGATACCTTAGGCTTTTGCGCAGCGTCATGCCTCTCAGCTTCCTGATTGGCCAGGAAGCCAGATTCCCTGCCAGTCAGCATGGAGCCGGCTTCCCGGTCAATCGGGAATCTGAGAGGCAGGTAATAACATGCTGCACGGCTTCCTCATTGCCCGGTAAGCCGGGTGCATGCTCCGGAAGTACCAGTATCGGTGAGTACCAAAATATAAATATTGGTACTCGTACTTAATACCGAAAAAACAGTATCGGTTCATCCCTATTTTGTGCCTTTTTTTTTTTTCATCTCATGATCCTGCCAATAACTTCCTTCCTTCATTCCTAGGTGACAAGACCAACTCACCACACTGCACCCCAGCTTTCCTAATTTGGGCTGCAACACATGCTCCTTTCCTTATTATAACATATAGTGGAGATGTTCTGTATTTCAGAGATGTAGGTTCAGTGCCCAGGAAGTGACAAGCACACTGGCTTTTGGCTATATCAAGATGTATTTTTTTGTATTTGCAGAAGATTTACTTAGCCTGGAAAAAATTGTAATGCAGCCACCACGTTTAAGAACTGGTACACTACAGTATATTATTGTTCTTGGGTTTAGATATACCTTTTAAAGTTTTTAGAATGAGGGAGTTGCATAGTCTACAATTAATTTACAGTCAACAATTCCAAAGAGTGATATGGGTACCATTGCTGAGCAGCTTCTACTTCATCTTAGCCACCATTTACACTTGAGTGTCAACATCTTTGGTCACTTTAGAGGCTTTTTTTTCTTTTGTGACTTAGTGCACGCATTTTAGAGAGTTTTTGGTCTTGAGCATTTTGGTTTTAGTGAATGGAAAGGAGGAAGAGGTAGGTGGTAGGCGTGAAACTCCTTTTGAAGGGTGTTGGAGCCAAAAACACACAATCATACTCCACAGAAGTGCCTGTTCTTTTTCTGAGCACTGAGCAACAGTAGTTCGCTCAGATGTGAACGTGTACAATAGAATAACATGGAAATCTGTGTGTCAAACATTGAGCCACTTCTGACAGGGAGCTTTAAATCGCTCAATTGTATATGTTTTGGATGCTTAAACAGTGAGAGCTCCCTGCTGCAGTTTCTGACTCTTTCTGTCCATGTAGTTTTGGGTGCTCCTGCCCACCATTACGTGTTCTAGCATCTCCTGATGTATTCTCCATAATAGGGATGCCAATACCGAGTGTACGGGTACTCACCCAAATGCTCCTGAACTTTCTGTATCGGAAAGCCAGTCTGCGACCGCCTATTACATGCCGCCCGGCTTTCTGATTGCTCCATCGTCACCAGGAAGCATGGAGCTGGCTTCCCGACCAATTAGGATGCTGAGGGGCACCAAGTGACAAAGGGGCATTGAACCGGCTTCATGGCCAATGAGGAAGCCGGGTGTCATGTAATGACTCGCCCCCAACTTCCTGTTTGGCCAGAAAGCCAGCTCCATGCTTCTTCGTCACCAGGAGATGGCTTCCTGGATAATCAGGAAGCTGGGCGGCGAGTCATTACCTGCCGCCCAGCTTCCTTAATGGGACGTCCGGTATCGGTGAATACCATAAAAAAAATATCGGTATTTGTGCTGTATAACGAAAAAAAACGGGTATCTGTGCACCCCTTCTCCATAATATAAAATATATTGAAAATCTAAGTAGGACTGTGGGTCCCCTCGTAATGGCTAAAGCAGAGGTGAAGACCCAGGAACTCAAGAGCAGTGACCTTAAAAATCAAATCCCATGCAAGTTTAAGAACAGGGATTTAAAGTTCTAGCATCTATCAAAAATTTACATGTCTATTATGAATGGACTAACCATGTAATGTTAACATCCTAGGAAATAATTTGACATCTATTAGCCCTAAATAGATCAAAATAACACACAGGAGTACAATTAAATGTTTTGGGCTATGGTTTATGTTGTATTGTGAACCTGTCCCTGATGTGTATAATGTTGTTTTGCCCTCTAACTAAAGCTTGACTTTCCTTGGCATTGTCTCATACCATGCAGAGAGGTGGATCCTCTTCAGAGACTTGTTAGTGCATAGTAATAGGTCAGCGGATAAATCAGATTCAGTGTAGGAGGTGTTTGGCACACAGTTGTCAGTATTGGAGAAACTGACATATTTTCAGGAATTTGAAAAGGAATGATCCCTAGGTGTTGATCCATGTTCTTGCATCATTTATTTTTCACATCTCTGTTCTTTGATGTAAGTAAAGAAAGCACATATATTGATCATTTTCTCTTTGCAGCATTTTATAACAATTAACTATTTTTCTGCTTAATATTTTTTAGAAGACCAAATTCTGCTTTTCATTTTTCCACTTAGTAGTCCGCCAGGCTGCTGAGTTATGTACTTAGTGATATTATTCAAAGCAACTGCAAAAAATGTATTCTGTAGTTCTGCCATCTTTCAGTTCCATGAAATCATTTCAAATGTAGAGTACTTTTTTTGATACAGGGTGGGGTAATTTTGGGTAGGGAAGAGACATAAGGTGGTCTCTTGTGTCTATCATTTTATGATTGCTGTAAACAGTGTAATATGCTGGTACCATACAAATAGTGAAAATAAGGTACATTTGTTTTTTACGCACATTGTCAAGATGGGTAAATTCTGCATAATGGATGTTCCCTTTTTTAGATGCTTAATTTACATGTCCTATTTTTTTTTTTAATGCAACAACGTTTATTCATTTGTTTTTCATAGATTGGGGCAGGCTTGTTTCTTTATTTACATGGGTCTTTTTTACAAATTTGATTTCTTGTATGAAGCATAGAGGGCATGTCTTAAAAGTTAATTAGGTCTCTAAATTCCTCACACATGTTAATTAAACCCAAGTAAAGTCAGAGAAATAGATATTCGGCTAGACATACATTAAAGGAGAACTATTTGATTGATTTTCACTTCGAGCGGACGTGTAACAATTAAACTTTCGCACGCAGGCTCTATTGAACGGGAAGTGAGCGAACGCATACCGTCGGTCGATCGCTCGCTTTGCAATCATCTCCCTCCAGAGAGCGGTGACTGTAAGTCACCGCTCCCTGCAGGGATGCCCCCCCCTGCTCCGTTCCTCCTGCGCTGACTGGAGACACGGATGAGGGAGGGGATAGGCAGAGCCAGCTGTCACTCACGCAGCTGGGCGGATCTCGACAGCATTGTCGGGATCCGGCTGCAGCGCTCTCAGTATATAGTGAGCAATAGCTCGCTATATACTGAGCTTTGGGTCACGGGAGGATGCTAGTATTTGTCCTCCCGTGACCCTTAAGAGAACTATGGGATAAAAAGGCCCCATAGTTCTCTTTTAAACTCGATAACCAGCGCTAACCAGTCTGAGACCCCCATCCCTCAATTCCTCTTTAGTACAAGTCTGATTGAGGACACTTGTGTGCAGGGGTGTAGTATTGCTCAGATATGTCAGCACTGAAGTGGGAGGACAGGAAACAGGAAGTGCACGTTCCCTGATAGAAAAGGGTATTTTAAGTTATTTCTAATCACAAATTTCTCAAGAACCGTAATATTGGTACAGGATTATAAAGATATAAAATGGTGTGAAACTCTAACATTGAATTGTAATTGGTTACCTGTTTTATGTATGCTGTAAAATCTATAAAATGGTGTTAATCATCTTAAGACACTTTACAATCAGCGGTCTGCTACTCACCTGGCCAGCTATCTCTTTTTATTATGATAGTTACTATTGTAGATGGTTGCTTGTAGTAATACAGTCTTATCTATGCTTTTAGATCTCCATGCAGTTCTGACATACTGTAGCAGAACCAGGTGTTCAGAGGGTCTGATGGCTGAGTAAAGTCTTGCGTTTAGTAGATCATGAAATTATTTAACAGTGATGCAAGAGGTCACTTGTCTGTATTGCATATTACAATACTGGAAGAAGGCAGACTCTTCTATGCGTTCTTATCAGATATTCTCTTCAGAACCTAAAAGGCCTCTTACATGAGCATGCACTAGGGTATTATACGAAAATCTTCCTTTTTAAATGGTAAAATACAAAGAACAGAGAGCACACCAACATTGTATAGCAGGTATGTTTATTAAAAATTTATAATCAAAAGCACTCACAAGGGAATGGTATACAGTTGTCCTTTAGTCTATTGAAGCTTCCTGGTAGGGGCAGATATTAATGCAAGTAATTACAAGTTCTGATCCACAAGCTGGCATGCTTATTAGATCTTATTAGGCTTCTAGATCGGTACTTGCTGTAATTACTTGTGTTAATACCACACCTTGCCAGACAACTCAGACTGAGGATCATCTTGCTAACCAGGCTTGGGAAATGGGATCCCACCCCCAGAAACACATCACCTTGGATATTAGTGAAACTGTGACCCAGGAAGCTGGATAAACTTCACCCCCTCTCCGCTTCTGGACCCCACACTCTATACTATGTGACATAGGTCTTGCTGAGCCAACCCCAACATCCCTGGCACATTTCAGTTTTAACCCCTACCGCTGGCAATGGCAGTAATGTTCCTAAACTGGATATGGAGAATATCTTTGGGTTACAGATGAGCACATTTTATACTTTGTTGCTGTGCACTCTGCCCTTTTTGTATTTTGTCTTTAGTTTGTTAGCGGTTCTCTAGGTGCGTGCGTGCGCGCGCGCGCATGTGGTGCCCTAAATGGACTTTACTGTCGGACATGCAATATATCCTACTATTCTGATTGCCTATTTTCTACACAAAGGTTTGATTTTTATTCTTTGCACTTCTTTTTTAATAGTAACTACTCTTCATCTTCATAATGCCATGCAGTTTGAACATTGTTGGGACCATTGCCTATTTTCTGGCCTTCGTCTGTGCTTGGGGTTTGTTAATTGATTTCCAGCAGGCTGAAAAGTCTCCTGTAACTGGTCCTTGATTTCCCTTTTCTATAGCAGGTCAAGATTCATCTGTCTTTGAAGAGATCCTTGCATTTTTTATTTAAAGGTTTATGTATAGTGAATATGTCTCCTGTTTACGTCTATTGCTTTTTATTTCCCTGATTTTACCAGTTAAATTGAATATTTGCTGTCTTCTCTCATATATTTTTTTTTTCTACAACTTTCTCCTCCTCAGGTTTGGTTCAGCGGTGCGTGATAATTCAGCGGGATGAGAATGGCTTTGGGTTAACAGTTAGCGGAGATAACCCTGTCTTTGTTCAGTCTGTTAAGGAAGGTAAGACTCCGCTTTAATTACACTGGAACACATTTATGGGGATCACTTTTGTTTGCATTGACAGTTGCCTGATGTACCAGGATTGTTACTTGTTTACCATTTTGTTAAGGTTTATATTAGGGCAAAATAAAAAGAACAGTGCAGTACATCTTTGCAATACTTCAAATTTGCAAATGATTTATCCCTTCAAAGACAAGTACAGAATAAAAAAACCTGTAAATCTGCCAGTAATGCACTCAGCTCAAAGACCTGTTGTGGGCTGACGCCCACAGGATTTTCATGGTGTCGATCCTGCCACATTTTGTTTTTTTCCTCAAGTCCACCCATATTCCCATCTCTACAATATAGATACTAACTAATCTGTAGTTCCAAGATAAAAATGTGGAGAGCTAATTGCTCTCCTTTTTAGATAACACAGGCAGCGTGCACTAAACAAAGGAGAACTCTTATGTTTTTCACATGATCAATCTTTTTTTTTGCCCGTATCAAAAAATCACTTATACTGGTATATAAGAAAATAACAGACTAAAAAGAATCAAATATGAAAAGTGCATTGTTTCGGTTTACATACTGTACATTTTCAAATCCTGTAGGAGAAATGAACAGCAGATTGCAGAAGCTTTAGATAGGAGTTATGAGGTTTTTGCAGATAGAACTAGCTTCAGTCGTCTTTCTTCTTCAGTTGTCTTCTTTGAAGGATTTTGTTAACTGTATATTGTAATACCAGCTCTGTATGTAATAGTACCATTTTTACAGACCCTATTGCAGCATTTGAGCGGCTTATTGAATGAGAAATAATTTCATCATAAAGGAATTATCAGTTTTTCCAGTTGTTTGGCCAGTGATAATATGACCATGTACAAGCAAAAGATTGTTTGAAACTGTCCAAATTTTTTCAATCAACTCTTCATTGTGAATATCTTGTGAATTGCATTATCTGTGGTGGATTGCTTTTCAGAGGGCAGTGAAGCAGTGGCTGGCCCCGTATTCAGGAGGCATTACTGCCGCCTCCTGAATACAGGTGTTTTTTTTTATTGCACTAGTGTGCTGCAACCGCATGCCCAGGTCCATTCATTGCAATGATCGTATTTTGACAATGGCATCGCCTGTTAAACAACGCATTCTGTATGGTTTTTGCCGTAACAATGTGTACAGCATGATTTGGCCACAGTGTTGACATTGCAGCCGGTGACCAGAGGGTTAATACCACAGCTCATATGCCTGGTTTTACTACCCCCTTTGCTGTCTGTGTGAATGTGACCTGATAATTTGACCATAACAGGCTGATGTTTAAACGGGGTGACCGGCCACTATTTGACATAGTGTACACCTCTGGGTGTGCTCTTCTACAGAGATATGAGGTCTAAAGGTGCCCATACACCTTACAACCATCGCACGACTTTCATCCTGCGATGGTTGTAAGGTCATTAAAAAGCTTGTACGATCTGCCCATCTTTGTACAGGCAGATCGTATTTCCGATCATCGCAAGCCCTCCCCGCTGAGAGCAGGGCTTCCGATTTCAATGCTGAGAGGGCAGTGTGCGCTTGCGCACACCGGCCCGTGCGGCATTCGTCTACCGAGAACGCCACTAACCTGCCGAAAATCTTACGATTTCTTGGCAGGTTTTCTAGCCTGCTCGGGAGACAAAAGACGTGCGGCCTTACAGTATAAACGGTCGCACGCCTTCCATACACCTGCTGATTATCGTACGATCGCGAGATCACCCGCGATTATCGTACGATAATCGGCAGGTGTATGGGCACCTTAAGACTGCTGCCATGTTCTACTTCTTTTCATGCGGTGTCTTCTTGCTTGACTATCCATTAGGTGGACACCTATGATGAAACTTTTGCCCATGCAACCTGGAGCTACATTATCTCGACACCTGGCTCCATGGGGATTGACAGAGTTCTGGAGTCCATCTGTTTCAACTTTTAGGTTAAGGAACGTTTTTTTGGTGCATATTTTTGCAAATATGTAGCCACATAAAGCCACATTATGGCACCTCTGCAAAGTGTGGTCTCTGGCTATCTAAACATCCCAAGCTGGGGCACATATGTAGCAATGACTAAATTAAGACAGTATGTCTGCAATGTGCATCTGCATCAAACTAAAAAATGGCAACAACATGCCCACAGTTTATAACTAGCATAGGAAGGGTGCATATGGTTAAGGCAGTACACTGAACTATAGTAACATTCCCGGCACCCAATTTGGCAAAGAAGATCTAATTAATACCATGATGTTGCTCATCACTGTCTGTTTTTTTTTTCCGTGTGTGTTTTCAAATTGTTGTCGAAGCATTTAAACGTAATTTGCAAGACAATAAGATGGGCAAAAAATACTTTTAGTACCAGTCAACTGAATATGGCAACTTGCTTGGACTGTGTAAGTGTCACGTGATAGGCCACAGTACTGTGTTTTATTCATGTAGTGTGCATATTTACTTTGATTGCTTTTAATGTGCCTCTCTCTGCATTAGATGGCGCTGCCATGCGAGCCGGAGTGCAGACAGGAGACCGTATCATCAAGGTATACAATGTTTTTGACACTGTAGCAAAAGTTAATTCTGCCAATTAATCTTTTCTGTTTTTCTTATTTATATGTCATCTTCTGGGCCAAATGATGACTCTTATTGGCCTACTTGTGTAATATGGTTGTGCCGATTTGCTTTTCTTTGTAAGTAGGACATGCATCTCATGCCATCTGTTGTGGTTTTTTTTCAGGTTAATGGGACACTGGTAACACATTCTAACCACCTGGAAGTGGTAAAGCTCATAAAATGTGAGTATCCTTGATTTGTGTTCACCTAATCAGTATCAAAATCAAGTCGTTTTCCAAGTGAGGAATATGAGCTGAAAGAGTTCTGTCATGAACTTTCAGGTCTCAGACTAACGTTTTGGTATTTAGTAAAACAGTGTACTGAATTCAGGCTTCAGATGTTCGCAAAATAAAATGTAAAAATGATGTAGAAAGCAAGTTATTGTCAAGGTAACTGACGTTGCTAAATTTGGTTTGGGCTTCTTGGCTTCATTTACCCCTGGTCATGAAAGAATATACATAGATTCACCCTTTCAGTGCTTATCCCTATCTGTAAAGGAAGCAGTCATTATATACATCTCTCTGCTTCTTGATCGAACATCCGCGTCTGCACACTTTGGCCCCATAGGCTTCTAATGGACTCTTAAGCTGGCCATACACTTTACAACCATCGCACGACTTTTGTCTTGCAATGGTTGTAAGCTAATTAAAAGCTCGTACGATCTGCCCATCTTGGACAGGCAGATCGTACTTGCAATCATCGCAAGCCCGCCCCGCTGAGGGGAGGGCTTCCGATGACTGCAATGCTGAGCGAGCAGTGTGCGCTTGTGCATACTGGTCCGTGCAGCATTTGTCTTACGAGCACGCTCAAACCCGACGAAAATCTTACGATTTTCGGCTTGTTTTCCAAAGTGCTCGTAAGACAAAAGACATGCAACCATACAGTAGAAACGGTTGCACGCCTTCCATACACCTGGCGATTATTGTACGATTGCGGGATTTCCTGCAGGTGTATGGTCGCCTTTAGACAAATTTGGCTGGAAACAGGTAAGCTCTACTTCAGGGGGTGAGAGCAAAAGGGTAAGGTAACTCTCTGCTTGTATGTGTGGGTGCTGGATTCCAAAGAGCCTGTCACGTTTGGTAGATATTTGCTTTCACTGGCACAATAAAAGGCTATGCTTCCCATCCACGGAAATGTGTATTGAGCTATTTGGCTTATTGCAGTCCCCCATATCTGCTATTTTGGTGCCACTAAGCACACCCTTTCAGTGCCCATATGGTATTTATGAGCCCTATAAAGCACTAGATGAGAGATGAGTTTGTTTAGTTGCCATTAGGGATTAGAGGTCAGATTGTTTTTTAAATTGAACCCGTGCCTTGTTTTTGCAAGATTGCAATTTTGGTTTCAACACAGATATGTTTATATCCCCCAAAATTGTTAGAACTGCAGTTATCATTTAACCAAGTTCCGTGTTCCTTTTTTTTCCCACCAAAATACTGATTCAGCTTTGAACACATTACATAAAAAATCCTAAAAATTTAATTTTCATTAAAAGAACTCCATAACTCATTGTTTTAAATGTCGTTTTCATGATTGCTTGGATTATATTGCATGTAAATACATGCATCTGGTAGTATTACATTGCTAGACTGTGTCTCATCTCAAGCTTTTGTATAATAACAATGCGGTCTTAGTTTCCTCTGGGCAGGGCTGCTTGATTCAGGTGTAGATTACAAAGCAGCTTCTGTCACTTTAGCGTACATAGAGATACGTTCACAATTTTTGTACATGATTCGCTTGTGATGTGTTTTATTGTAGGCACAATAAGCTAAAATTACACCCACCCTAGTTAATATGGTTACCTTATCCTCTTTCCTCTGGCAGTCTCTGTACAACTGTGAGTACACCGATTCTTATGATAAATTCAAAGAACAGCCTTCTGTGGTTGCCCATACTAACCAACATCATTTCTGATTTAAACAGCTTATTTTAGTCAAGCTAGTAAAAGATAATTGCTTTTTTTCATTCATTAGGGAACACAGGAAGTCTTAAACCTTCAGGTTATACTGCCGACTACAGAAGGATAGAACACTGGCGAGCAAAAAAAACAAAACTGTAAAGCTAGTCCAGGCTATAACACCTCCCACAACCAGCATGACTCAGTTTTTAGCTAGTGTCCTAGAAGGATGGGCATCCTTTTTTTCAGCTCTGCTGTTTTAAAGACTAATTTGTGATATTTTTGTAGCAAGTGTTATTCTTCAATCAGGACGCTTCCCTACACTGATGTCGTTTTCCACCAACTTACAGCTATTTAGCGCGGTTGTCCTCAGTCTGGCTTTTAGGCTCCATTCACACTAGGGTGTAATTGGGTGCGTGTATATGCTTTTAAAATGGGTTTCTCAAAAAACGTATATATGCATCTATTGATTTCCAATGGATCTATTCACAGCATGCATTTAGATGCTTTTCTCCCCAGTTAGTTCAGCTGTGTTTAGAAAAGATAGAATTTGTCCAGGAATCAATTTTAACTTTTAAACACACCAAAACGCGTGTAAATGGAAGAAGCATTTATTTGCTGAAATCTCATTGGCTACTTCAATGGACTGTTTTAATGGACAAAAGACAGATGCATGTACACGTGCATCATTTTAAGTATCTAGAAGTATAAACAAAGCATCTGACCTGGTAGATCTAGCAGACTAGCCCTGCAGACCGCTGTATAAAAAAAGCAAGTATGAATGAAGCCTTACTGTGTACTGCATCCCCATCCTGCTGGACTGGACATTATGGATTGAGCCTGGAAGTGATTCTTGGTCACTGGGCGCTGCACATGCAATTTTCAGGTTCTGATTAAGTTAGTTGCAGAGCAGTTTTCCAGGTCCAGAGCCACTGGCATTGCTTCTGCGCTTGCTCTGTCTCTGAAAACTCACTTAGTGAGTAGGCTGTTCAGGCCATGCACAGGGCGTTTCCTCTTTGGTCACGGGGCACCATTATTTAGTGCTGGCTTTGCTGTGGGATTAGTTAAAGCTGTGATATTGACATTCCACTGGCTGCAGTATCTCTCACACTCACTTGGCACTCTTTCTCACCAAATAGCATCAAGGAAGCATCTCCCTGATGCTGTTCTTTTTGCAAAGAGCAGTGTGATACTTCCTGCTGCCTGTGTACAGTGGCTTTGATCACCTTCAGCTGCCTGACCATCCCGTCATGAGTTTAAGATGCTACCAGCTGCCCAGGTACTGTGGGTACTCCACGCCTTCCCTCTGACCTTGAACTTGTACATTGCTTTCTACACAGTGGCTGTGACATGTCTGGTTCTAGACACGTGAAGGGCCAGTTCTGGGTTCCCCCAACAAGCTCTCCACTAATGAGCTGGGGACTGTTTGTTGTGTGCCCCCTTATAGTGGCTTTGTCTGTACCCTGGGATCCTGCTACCCTCTAGTATTGGAGTCTCTTCCCTCATCTGAGTCCACTATAGCTCTATTGGGTGTGGCTGGGTTCTCTCTGCTCTCAGCTGAGGTCTTTACTACTGCCACACAAGGCTTTATGGTGAAAATTACTCATCTCCAGCACATTCTATATCCAATTTGCCTGCTCACCTATCGGCCTCTTAGCCATTGGGTACAGAGACTTTGTCTGGTTCTGGGTTGCATAATTTACTTTACTAATGAGCTTTCCCCAGAGGAGTCATAGTCCCCTGCTATCACACCCAAGTCAAAGGAAACCCTTTTGAGTTTTATTGATGCAGCACACACCACTCTGTAGCCGTTTCTGACTCTAGGTCTTATAGTCCTCCTATGGCTTTCCTTTTTGCTCTTAATTGTGCACAAAGATTGTAAACACCCTGATAGGCCATTTGCTCCCCCTTTGCACTTGCTGAGCATTTTGTTCAAAGTGATCCATTCCTACTGTGGATTCCGCTATGTCTCAGCTGAACAAGGTGGCTTTCACCTGTTGCAGATGCTTCTGCCTTTAGGCGACCCACCGAATACGTGTTTGGAGGCCCTTTCAATGTTCTGTGGTGTCTGTGGCATTGAACTTTAGCTGTGAAAGCCTATTTGAAGCCTCTCGAATAGGCTTTAAAACACATTCTAACATGCTGCTGCTCATACAATTGAAGGTTAAAAAAGGAACAAATCGCAAACACTGCTATGGGTTTTAACAATGCATTGCAGCGTATGCCAGCAAGCTTGCACTGCACACCAGCACACACATGTGTTGTATATGTATGGTGTGAATGAGCCGTAAATCCTCGCTACCAGTGCTGGAAGACTGCTGTTTGCTTGTGCCGGGATTCATTAATGATTTTGCCTCCTGTATCAAGGTGTGTTTGCTAAGTGCAGGCAGCTTAAGCTGCCATTAGTAAAGGTGAAGTGGTCAGCGAGTTTTTCTTTTAGTGAGATTAGCCAGCTGCAGCAAACACACCTTGGGAAAGTCCGCCGTGCACTGGCATACTAGCAGTTTGCAAAATATCAGCAGCCTGTTAATGCAGCTTTAACACTTTGCTCTTTCCTTTAAAAAAAAAAAAAAAAGAAATTGTGTGCTGGCTGGCAAACTGAGTCAGACACAATTTTTTTTTTTCTGGTATTCCTAAGTAATTTAGGATGCCAGTGGGTGATTATACTTATTGCACTTCACCCATAACCGATCAGTATTTTGGGTAGGACCTATCTGAAAATTTAAATTACCTAGCCGTCTTGCTAATCCTTGGCTTCACTACTTACTTCAGTCAAGGTCTTGGAATATCCGTTTTTTGACGGTGATTAAGGCATTATTGAAGCCAAAGGATCATAATTACCACTTTGGAACTAGCATTTATAAAAGGTTGCCAGCAGTGTCCTTCTGTACATGTTTAGTTTTACATATTCTGATCGGCAGGCATTTATGGGAAGTATGATTAAATTAAGCCCTCGGTCATTACCAGGCAGCATCGGTCTCTCTTGAAACAGTATATAAATGTATTATTGCTTTTGCAACTTGGCCTGTGTGCATTATTGATACGTATCCCCTCCTATTATGTGCCTGCAAATTACAGCCAGATGGCAGGATCTTCCTAAGGCTGGGCACACACCTTACAACTATCGCAAGACTTTTGTCTTGCGATGGTTGTAAGGTACTTTAAAAAAACGTACGATCTTCCTATCTTGGAAGCTCTATAAGCTGATGGTCGCTAAAGCGACCATCAGCTTATAGTAGAACTGTAAATGCCAGGTCCGTATGGCATACTGACCTGGCCAGCTGGAAGCACTTTTGTAGGTCCGTATGCCATACGTCCTTGGCAGCGAAAGGGTTAAAGGCATTTCTGGCAAGATCAACAGGTTTTCTGTACTTGCTGAAATTGTTCTAAGCCTAGAAAATGAAAACTAATGCAGCCACAACATCTAAGGACAAGTAAGCTGCAATATATATACAATTCATGGTCTTGGGTTTAGCTGTGCATAATCAAATTATAAGCCTATAAATTGTTTGTAAAGGAGCAGTCGGCTGCCTGAATGTGATTTTGTATCTTTTTTTCTTAACTGTATTGTTGCGCTTTAAAATACTTTGTATGTTATTGGATACAGAACTAGACATGGTGTTTTTTCCAACTAGATGGAAGATGCCATTTTAAAGAAGAAATCTGGCGAAAAAATGCTTAACCCTTGCATTGGGGTTGCCCCCATACTGCAGGGTTAGTTGCTCATTTACGTCTAGGTGCAACAATAAAGGTTGTGCTCATCTGATCCTCTGAGCCGACTGGCTGGTAGATTGGTCTTTCCAGCTTCTCTCCCCCTCTGCTCCAGCTGTCTAAGGTCCCATGAAACATTGTGTCCAATACACTGTGTATTGGACGTGAGGACGCTGAGGGACATACCATCACTGCAGCGTAGCAAGAGACAGGCTGGAAGGAGCACTATAGCAGCCAGCCGGCTGTGAGGTTTTTTGAGTATAACTTTATTATTTTTGCACATAGATGAAAACAAGCACTTAACCCTTGCAGTGCATGGGTACCCAACTGCAAGGGTTAAGATTTACAGAGTTCTTTAAGTGAGACTAAAGTATCTAAAATGGTGAATGTTTCCCTGTCATATTCAGATATTCCCTACAGAAAAAGTATCTGATTACAATGCAGAGAAGGCAAAGCCCTAGAAAATGTCGAAGTTGTTTTCCACTGTTTGCTTAGTGGTTGTCCATGTACAGTACTATAATTCAGTTAGAGCTCCAAACAGCAATCAACTGCTATCAAAAAGGCAGTTCCTTCCAGAACTGAACCTTTCCTATAGGCCACGGGTAGGCAAACTCCAGCTGTGGTGCAACTACAAATCCTATTAGGCATTCCAAGACTGACAGCCACAGGCCTAACTCCCAGAAGCAGATGCATGGTGGGATTTGTAGTTTCACCACAGCTGGAGGGCCAGAAACCCTGCCATAGACCATTATAAAGTCAGCCAGTTGTAGGGACACGATCTGGATCACAGTCAAGAATTATAGGTATATACCCGAACATGATGTAATTTGTCTGTTTTTCTTATATTTTCTTCATGCAGCTGGCTCATATGTGGCCCTCACAGTTCAAGGTCGACCTCCTGGGTCTCCTCACATTCCCCTCTCCGAGGGAGATCCATTCTCTCCAGCACCTTTACCTCCTTACTCGCAGATCAGTCATGGGCACCTTGAAAGAATTACTAGCCCTATACCCATGGGGGTAAGTACTTCAGGTTATTATTTGTTTAGCTAGAGGAAACTTAACACGTAAGTAATACCTTTTCTTTGTCTAACTGGATATATTTTTGGTCCTTAAGTTTTCAAAAACATTTTCTTTCTTGTCCATTTGAGGAGCACCGTCTCAAACCTTCTTTTATACTGCCAACTATAGGATAATTGGACACTGGCAAAGAAACCTGTAGTCCAGCTTAAGATAACCCCGCCTACTACCAGCGTGCCTAATTTTTTTTTATTAATGTCTTTTCTTCTTCTTAACCTATTATTTGCTGGACTGTTCTCTACATTGCTGCTGAAGCTGTGTCCCTTTTGATTGTAGCTCTCTGGAGCAATCGACCTCACTCTGGCTTTTGGAGTACCGCATCCAGACTCTGATGGACTGGATGTTGTGGCGATAGCCTGGAAGAGGTCTTCGGGCACCTCACCTCACTGGGTTACATATGGGGCACTTTCCAGACTCTGTCCTGGTAAAAGTTAGCTGTTGAGTGCTTTTCAGGTCCATAGCTGCTGGCATTGCCTCATTGCTTCCACTGTCTCTGAAGACAAAGTAAGTGGGCAAGCTGGGATGAGCATAGGTCACTGGGTACCTTTTTTGCTTACTTTTCCTGCTGGTTTTTACCCACAGAGGAAGTAAATGCCTGCAGGACTGAGTGCTGTTGTCATTTGTGGGGTGGAGTGTCACACGCCATGCAGCGTCAAGGAACTCCCGTCTTCTGCTCCTGCTTGCAAAGAGTCATGTGGAACTTCGATCCGTGATACATTTTTACAGTCTACAATGACTTTAGTCACCTCCAGCCATCCAACCCTCCCCTGCTATGAGCTTTCCAGGTTCCATGAATACCTTAGGCCTTGCCTCTTACCCTGAATCTATATGTTACTTTACTAACGTGTTTGATTCTAGACAGGGGAGTGGTGGGGGGGACAGTCCCCCTGTATTAAGTTTCAGTCTCCAGCCTTAGGTTGCTTAAAACTCCTAATATTGCATAAGCTTTTGTTTTGCGCCTGTTCTTCTGTGGAAATTGAAAGCATCCTGATAAAATATTTGCTCCCCCTAGTGCTTATTAGCCTTACATCTGTTTGGTGATGATTTTGTATAGAAGTTGTCTATTCCCACTGTGGATCGATTTTGAGATCCACTCTCTGGCACCCTTCACCTAATCCTGGCTGTGACTTTACTTTGTCAAACCATGTCTGGTTTGTCAAAATCCTAAAAAGTGATCTAAACACTGCTGCGGTTTTCTCTTTACTTATTGGACGCATCAAGCAGATGGCTGTAGCATTAAACTTTAGCTTTGGTGGTTAGCTGGAAACCTCTCCTCTAATTTCCCATATGTCTTAATGTCAGAACATACAGAATGTGTAGGGCATTTGGCTAAAGTGCTGGACTGCGAAACCTTTGTTCAAGAAGAGGTGATATGCATGGTCTTCCAGCTACAATGTCTACTCAGACTGGCTGTTGATAATATCAAGGGTGCTACTGGTGGTAAGAGCACCTATATTCCTCAGCAGAAGAAGCATAAGGAACAGACGGCACAGTCTTCTCCCTGTCTGACCCTTTCATAGATCTACTTTTCGACCTCCATGTCAAGACATCCCAAGCTTGGCCCCTATGCCATCTAGTCTGGTGCTCAAACTGCCAAATCCTCGGACAAGCCTTGCCATATGTGGCTCCCCCCGTACACTCTCCAGTGAATACTTAAGATCTAAATCTGGTTCTCTCTGCGCTTTTTATACTGCCGTTTGAACTCGGTTTAGACATTCCTTTCTCTATTCTCGCCTACGAGGTGGTTTTCCTTAGAGCCATCACCTCTGTAAGGCATGTGTCTGAATTGGTGGCCTTTCCTTGCAAAGAACCCTTTTAATCTTGTATAAGGACAGGGTGGTGGTGAGGCCCAGAATTTTCCTCTAGCTTAAAGAAGTTTCTGCCTTTCACCTCAACCTGGATATTGTTCTCCGATCCCTCTGTCCGGTTCCAGCTCATCAAAAGGAAATTTTTCTCCATTGTCGGGCTATGCGTGCCTTCTTTCAGAAAGGCTGATATTTTTCATCCTGGACGGACTCAAGAATGGTGGTCTTGCTTTTCGTTCCACCAACTCTAGGTGGCTCAGACAGACCATTATTTAAGCTTATGGTCTCAAAGAATGGGTTCCACCCTCTTCTGTCAAGGTGCATTCTACTAGATCTGTGAGTGTTTCTTGGTCTTTTTGGCATCAGGCAACGGTTTCTCAAATGTGCAAGACTGCCGCCTGTTCGGCTGTTTACACATTCCCTAAGCTCTTACAGGTTTGCATTTCAGCCTCATCTGATTCCAGCTTCTGAGGTAAGGTCTTTAGGTTGAGCTGCAGGGAGTACCCAGTTTTCTTGGTTTTTTTTTCTTGGGTCTTTTGGCATTTGTGTGCTGTGTTGCCCACCCCTTGGTTGGACTGCATTTTGACATCCTAAAGGTATAAGACTTCCTGTGTCCCTCAAAGGTTGAGGGACACAGGAAAAATCCTGTTCTTGAAGTCGATTGAGCGTCACAGGTCTCGCCCCTCGGTGGTTATCATCATGCTGTTGGTACTGATTTGCTTCAGTACTAAGGCATATTGGTAATGGGAAGGGTTGTCCTAGGGTGGCCTACAGTTTTTTTCCTTTGTCCAGTTCTCCTGTATTTGGCTCCAAGAAAAGGATTTTATGGTGAGTGCAAAAATCCTGTGTTCTTTGTGGGGCATTGTATGCTGCAAATAGCTGAAAAGTAGTACATGCGCTTATGAGTAGTTCTGGTCCCTATAGCTGCCCTTGCAAGAATTTTATAAGCTTGCTAATGTCATGAACAGTAATAAAAGCAGTTTCCATAAGATCACGGTCAAATAAATAGAATACTAAGACATGCTCTCGAATGGGAGTGGGGGTTAATATGGGTAATTGCTGGACACTGCACTTTTTCATTTTACCAAGAATAAATAAGATCTGGATGGGAGACAAAGATAGAGAACATTGTGGCAAGGAAATTTACATATTTTACCTCCCAATTTGAATTTTGCCCATCAGGTGTGAAAGTTCCTGTCAATAAGGATAGCTTTTTAAAATTAATTTTCTATGCCAGATAGTAGACATGTGCGATTTGTTTCGTTCCGAATCGAAATTCGGACGAATTTTCGGACATTCGGATGTATCCGAATTCCGAATTACAGACATAACGAATCCGTATTTCCATTTCCAAAATTCGGTAGTTCGAACGTTCGTTTCGTTTTCGGTTCTTATTCGTTTGGTTCGTTGGAGCAAAGTGACATTAGAGAAGGAGAAAAATATTTTTTCCCCCTCAAATGTCACGAACGAAACGGATAAGAAACGAATAAGAACAGAAAACAAAACGAACGTTCGACCTACCGCTACCGAATTTCGTCCGAATCCGAATTCCGAATCCGAATTGACTTTCACACCTGAATCCTGAAAAATGAAATAACACAAATCCGAATTTAAAACGAAACCAAACTAAACAAATTTTTTGGCAGTGCACATGTCTACCAGATAGCCTAGAAAACATTGGAGTGCTCAGAAAGGGCTTGAGTCTATGAACTCACAACACACTTGCCTTCTCAGCTTGCGGCCCCAACAAACACTATGATGGCTGGTTTGAATACTATTCTATACTCCTGTTCTGTTGCAAAGGATATTTATTAATTTCAGTCATTCTAACTATTTCAATTTTCTTTATAAGGAGGAAAACAATATTGTGCACAACCAGAAATTAGAGATACTAAAGAAAATGTTACAACAAGAAAAAGAACAATTACAGGTCAGTATCGACATTAAAAGAAAATGTGTTTTGCCCATGCAGGTAATGGCAATTTAAAGCCACTCTTTCCAAAAGTACAAACTTACCTTTGCTTCACTTCATTCAACTGATGAAAGCATAGAGAAAGAAGTACTTTGGATATGAGAATCATGTTACTCACCCCCCTCTTGTGACAGCCTTGGTGATTGACCCATTGCTCTTTTATAGATGCAAGGAGACATTGAGCCCCGTGTAAGCCCCAAATCGCTCTAGTCAGAGCTTGCAGAATGTTGACTGTCTCAGCCAATGCTAACTGACTGGGCAATGCCAATCGCCACTCCCTACAGCTAAACAGGGTAACAGTGAAGTGAAGGAATGGAGAGTATGTGCTATCATTGAGGGGCAGACTGGAGTGAACCTGCCTGGGCAAAGCACAGGTACACTTTAAGACCTTCTTTACATGGGCTTAAGCTTGTATGAGAGCAGTGTGTACAGCAAGCTTTTGCAATGCGTTTGTGCAGCTTTGTAAAGCTTCAAGCTGCTTTGTTGAATCCTTTTAATAACTTTACTTTCAGTATGGGAATATTAAACACAGATTTTAATGGGAGTGCTGTCACTTTCAGCAGGCTCTTAACAAGCACCAAGTGGTAACTTTTGCTGAAGCCGGGTAGCAGCTTGGTTAAAGTAATAGCACTTCTAATAAGATATGTTCTTAATATTTCCAAACTGGAACTGATAGGGGCCTTTAAAAGCTTCAACAGAGTTTGCTGAAGGGTCTGCAAATGGTACAAGCTGAAGATGAGCAAGTCCTTAGGAGATTATTGTACGCTTGCATTTTTCTTTTACATTTTGCCTTTGAAGAACTGCAATAAGCCCTTTGTACATTTTAAATAAGCCATGCAGCATAATTCCTCATCATTAAGAGAATACAGTTGTCCCATATTTCTTAACTGACATGCGTGTGCCGACAAATGCAATTTATCTTTGTCAGCCTTTCATAAATTGTGAGAAGATTCCCAGAACTGAGATGTCAGTGTGCATATTGTAGAAAAGTATGTCAAAGTTTTCCTGATTTTCTGTGCTTCCCTTTTTTTATCAAAAACGGGACATTGCTGATTTAAAAAAAAACTCTTCTGTTGGTTTGAAAAAAAAGTGAGTTTTATGCTTTGTATTTGTCTTCTCGTGTGATTTGTAGTCTTCCCAGGAGGAGTATAACAACTCCCCATCCCCACGGCTTTTAAAGGATATCCAAGACACCAAGAAACACATACAGCAACTTCAGGAGCAGCTGGGTAAAACAAAGTCTCCAATGCAGGTGAGGGCTTATTTATAATTAGCGTTTATTTTTATTATTTTTTTCTCTCCGCAAACTGCATGGCATCACTTTAAACGCTTCACGCTGCTTGCATTTGACATTTTATTCTATTTATATACATGTAGTGTTCATGACAGTGATGTCCTGTGGCATGGTCTCTGCATTTTACTGCAGTGAACATTTGCAAAGAGGGCAGCATCATGTGTCAAGTGGAGGTTGTTTTTCTGTCATTCATTGGCACATAGATGCAGCGGAAGTTTGAAAGGTTTTCAGTATGAGTGGTTTTAAAGCGGAACTACAACCTCCTATCCTATACAGCCAAGGAAGGTGCCATCTTAATCTCTATTTGGATTGCAGTTGCCATGGTGCTGAGTTTGGTTGAGAGCTGAAAAAAAGCACACTGGCAACCTTGACAGTTGGCCTGTCCTAAAAGTAACTGTTTTGGGAGACATTAAATTGGTGGGCAAAGTACCCCTTTTAAGGTCAGCTACATTTCTGCACTGCTTGGCTCTTCTGTAATCCCCCCTGTAAATCTACATCAGTGAAGTACAAACCTGTTCGCTTTAATCCACAGGAAAGTAAACAATCAACAACCACTCGGCTATTTTTTTTTAATAGCACATTTGAAATTGTATTAGATGATGAGCATTTCTAGTTGTTGCAAACACTCAGTATCAACTCTGTGGGACCTCTACGTGGCAATTGCAAGTCATGTCAAAAGCAGGTGATCGCTTGTAAAGACTGGGCCTATAGGCACCATAAGAAGTCTACATCTGCTGCTCAGCATTGTATGACATGCACGTGATTATGGTTACTTCTGTCCCTTTTCCTGTGCTGTCATTTTTTTTGCAATATAGTAGTTTGGTTTGTGGCCTTATAACAACCATTTTTGAGATTACCAACTCAAGGCCATTTCAGTCTGATTAGAATTTCCTACCGCAGTTTAACATACTGTACACTAATCAGAGTTCTTTTTCATAGTTAGGTTTTCATAAAGCCATAAAATGTATTTTAGGCACTAGGATTGTGTGTGTATATGTATGCAGTGGCTAAATGCCGCAGAGGACACTGGGAATAGTTGAGGAATGTTTTTTCCTTGCACCCAGTCTGTGGCTGTTCATGAAAAAAAGGCTTCAGAGGGAGGCAGATGGCAGAATAAATGTTTTCTGTTTTAGGGCTTTGGAGTATGGCCAGGAAAAGAGTGGGTGGCTTTCCTGGCCATACCACTCCACTCTAGTTTTTCACCTGCTGCAAGAACCAAGTAGAGGTTCAAAGATTGGGCTCTATGTGAGTCATGGGGGAGAGCACAAAAGACTTTCAGGGCTGTTGGGGCACTTTTCTGGCAGCCGAAGCCTGCAACACTGTCGGTTTACCAAGAGTTCGTTCCACTATATACCCCAGGTAGCAAACTCTGTATGTCGCATACTACAGCATCCTAAAATGATCCTTAAGCAGAAACTATTTGTACGCAATTGCTAACATCATGGGGAAATGTGCTGTATTTGATATATTCTAGTTATTTCTAGAGCACTTATCGTCACATTCACCATGCTTTTAATACATATATATTGAAGACTTAAATGCCTAGTTTTTAATAATTGCACCTTCCTATACAAGGATTTGTCTTAGTGGTTTGATAAACATCTTTGGACACAGAGCTCTTCCAGGTCACGTCGTCCACAGATCTCAAGAGCATAAAAGAGACCTTACTGGAAGTTCCTATCAGTTGACACCACTGTTGCCACTGTTTTTATCTGTGTGCTTTGAACTTATTTTTTAGATAAAGCAAAAGGGAGTCAAAGTTTTGGATGGCTCCATTCCAGTTTTCAACGACAGACATTGTCCCTAGAAAGGAAGAATTTGTGTTGCACTCTCTTTAGCTAAACCTTTTGGGAATGGGACATCTTTATGGATGAAGGGCCCCTATATCGCATGTATGTTAACGTGTTGTGTTAAGGCAGCCCATTTAAAATGGTCTCTCCACAGCACACCCCAAGCCAGTAAAGCCCCTGTTTTTATAAGCATCACACTACAACATACAGATGGGTTCCATCTGTGCATTGTGGTGCACTGCAACACCTGTATGTTTGGATACGTTTGGCAAGATGCCTTTGTGTGCCATTCAGCATGCATTATCCTGGCACCGCAACATAGAGCACCACCGGCTGGGCATTGCCACACTTATTTAGGTCTGGAGCTGGCCTAAATGATGTGTTTGTGATTTTGTTATTAATTTTCTTGTTTTTGAGTATGGTCACATCGTAACTGCCAACTTATTTGCAGATAAATGAACTTGATGCATATTCATATGACCAAGAACGTTCTGATTATATAATTGGAGATGGATCATGTCCAAGTAGTAACGTTATGGATGTAAGTTTAGTTACTCGTTTTTGTGTATTTGTCTTTACCTGTGTCCCTCTATCGGAATTTAATTTCTGTTGTGTGTCTTATATTTATGGTATTGCATACATCACTATCTGTTTACCGTTTATAGCTGGCACTTTCACAGAACATTATTTCCTGCTTCTGACTAGTGCTTAGGTAAATTGGATGTGGCGTTTTCAGGCAGTGAAAGCAGCGGTTTTATTGAGCAATCCTATATTGTTAGTTAAGAATGAACTAGCGAAATCAACAGGACAAAGGAACTTTATGCCTCAATTATCTTTACTGTCTATAAATTTCATACTGGCCGCATCCACTGTACTTTAAAAGAAGCTTTTGCCTGAGAGGCACATGGGGACTGCCATTCCCAATTCTCTTCTTAAGAGGTTGCCCTGCTAGTACATTGACCAATTGGGTAAAGGTCATAAGTCCTATCTGTACATTAGCTCAAGGTAAATGGTAAATGTGATATCCTGGAAACTGGTATTTTCAGAATAAGAAATAATAGTAATGGTCGCCTTCATGTCTCAGGAAAGGTGCTTTTAATATATTTTCTTGAGTCATGGATTTTTTTCAAGACTAAAAATATTATTTTAGCATCTTTTTAAAATTGTAGTCAGTAATTAATGAATGTATGTAAATACATAATATATTCCCCTTTCCAGTTAGTGGGTTGTGAAAACGCCAGGATGTTGTACTCCAGGGTTTTTAAAAGCAGGATCTCAGATTAAACACACCTCTGCATGAGTGTAGTCTTCCCCGTGCCAATGCAGGAATGGTCTTCTAAGAGAAGCAACAAACAAAATGTTTTTTCTTTTTTAATCTGAGTTAATAGAATGACTCAAAGAAGGGGCTCCACAATTTTGCTAACTACATCTTCATTCTGTAGGAGAAATCAGAAATGTAGAGCTAGTGCTGGGCTTTCTTAGTAGAGCGACCTGCGAGCTCTGTAAACACTGTAGCATTAAACTATCCTAAATCGGTAGTAGAAAAGCAGGGAGGGGCTATAAACCATCAGATTTCTAATGCTGTTTGTATTGCCTTCGGGGAGTTTTTTTCCCTCCTATTTTCCATTGATGGTAGTTGCCAAGGCAGGACATGTCTTTTAGAGGAGAATTATGGGGTGAGTGAAAAACACTCATGCCCATAATTCAAGCTGACCTGTGACAAAGAAGCTGTCACAGGTCGGCTCTATTGATCGGGAAGTCAGCAAACACATACCGCAGATCGCTGACTTCCCCATCCGCTCCCTGCAGAGAGTGGTGACTGTCAGTTACCACTCCCTGCAGGGATCCCTCCCCTCTCCATTTCTCCAGTGCTGACTGGAGAAACGGACAGGAGGAGAGGGTGGCACAGCAGTATTGTCGGTATACATCCCTGCTGTGGTGCTGCGGCCATATAGCAGACAATAGCCCGCTATATACTGAGTTTTGGTTCACCAGAGCACACAGTATACGTCCTCCCGTGCCCCTGAGGAGAACTATGGGCAACATAGTTCTCCTTTTAAGAGGCGCAACAAATAACTTTTTTAATGGATTGTTTACCTGTGTCCTGGGAAGCACACAAGGATCTGAGCCCTGGGCCATATTATCTCATCAGCTGTTAAACATAGAAGTTTCATTCAAATTAAGGACTCCCTCTAGTGGCCTATCTTCAAATATCATCTAAATTTAAAATAATGTTAAAAATATGAAAGTGCAAAATGAGAGTATATTTTTTAGTAGACAATTTCCTTTTAAGCATACCATCATAGAAGATTCTTTGAAAAATTGCTAGCAATAAGTCTAATACAATATTTTGTATATGCTGGATTAGACACAAATTTATCTCCACAGAGTCCATGCAGCAGGCAGCGAGAAAAACATTCCCTAGAAGAAAGCCCAGAGAAGAGTGAATATCAAGACACGGTATGTGTACAGACTTTAGCTGTAATCTAAGCTTTTATGTCTGAACAATAATGCATTAATCCGCACTTACTAGTTTTTATACATTGCAAAATGTCAATCGGTCTGCTGAACTAGAATTCACGTTGAATGATGCCAGTCAATTCTGTTGGATGGCAACGCAATGCTAAACAGGGGTAGGGAGACAGAATGTCCGACACATTTACTACAAGGTTACAGCTTGAGTCATAAATTCCTCCCTCAGCTGCTCTGTGACAAAAAGAAACTTGACCCGGACTACTTAAATATGTATCTGTTTAGAGTGAAAATCTGTCTCATCATAAGTAATAAGTCTGTCTCAGAGCTTTTCTATCTGTCGCACAGATCTGTAAGCTTGTCGCAAAGACTTTGCTGAGCAGGAGACACCCCGATTTACACCTAATTGGTTGCTTGATAAATGTCTCCCACTGTGTTGCAACAGACTTAAACAAGCCTTCCCCCCATGTGAAGGAGCACCAGCACTATTCAGATTCGGGGGACGTATGTTGATCTTTGCAGATGCTTGGACATAATTCATTTCGGATTCTTGGGAGTGAAAGGTGGTGTTCCAGGGCTACAAACCCAAATTTTGTGCCCTGTCTCCTCCGTTTCTACCTTCTATCCTTCCCGCATATTTTCACAGACTGGCTTTATCAGTCTTACTCAGGTCTGCTGGACCAATGTGTCATAGATCCAGTCGCTCTTGTAAAGAAATTCAGGGATTTTACGCCAGCCTTTTTTCATTTTTCCAAAATACAAATGGGTATTGGCCATGAATATCTACATTCAGGTCCACAAATTCAGATGGAATCCACCAGATCTGTCACTTCCTCTCTTGATCAGGGAGACGTTCTGGCTTCTGTGGATCTTAAAGATCCTTACTTTGCATGTCTCCATCTTATCAGCACTATCTAAGATTTGCTGTAGAGACGGTGTGCTAGTAGATCATGACCCTGCCATGCGGCCCATCAGTGGCACCTCTGGTGTTCATCATCATCATCATGTTAGCTTCAGAGCTGGCCCTGTTGCACTCTTGTAGCATCCCCATTGTGGCATACTTAGATGATCTCCTATTGAGAGGAAATTGGTGCAGCCTCTGTTAAACAATGTATCTCTGACTGTCCAAACAGTACAAATTTTTTTGCTCTGCATTTCTGGGCTTGGTCCTGGACACTTCTCAGGCCAGAGTGTCCCTTCGCTGCAGTGTACATTACAGGCATGGACAATTGGTTGGCAGCATCTGAACTTGGGAGAGTGGTCTCTACACTTGGAGGTTTTCCAGGTGAGGGATGCAAGATGTGTACCTTTTTGCCTACAGGTTCAACAACAAACTGGACAGGTTTGTATTCAGGTGCAGCCATGCTCTGCCAGAAGCAGTGTTATCAGTTCAGCCCCATCAATGCCTTTCCCGGAAACTTCTTGTTACTGGTCTTAACAGACTGACTGACTGTTCAAGCCCAGTTTCTAATGGATGGGCATCCGAGTCTAAATACTATGATGTCTGAAGCTAGGAAGTCCACTGCCCACAAGGTCTATCATCAGACATAGAGGAGCTTTCATCTCAAGATGTTCTCCATGGGACAAATCCTCTCCTTCCTGCAGTTGGATTTTTGAATTGTTGACTCAAATATTAACATGCTTTTAAAGTGTTTTCTTTACCTCCTCTGGGTCAACTTTGTGTATATGGTTCTTTACAAGGAGAGAAAATCTTTTCAATTGGTTGATCTTGATGTACGTTTGTCTATTTTCAACCTGACTTATTATGTAAATGTTAGGCATTGCTTCTTTCAGGAGACTTTTTTTTTTTTTAATATATATTCTGCAGCTTTTTCGGAAGGGTGTCCCAGCTTCTCATTCCACCATCTCTAGGTGCCTCCAAAAGCCCATTGTTCACGCTTATGGTTTTAAGGATGGTAATGGTAATAATTCAAAATCTGTCTCTGGCAAATTAGAAACTCAGGCACCCATTTCCAGTTACCTGAAGCCACTGTCATATGACCCTCTGTGCCACCTCATCCAAGAGAGAACATCAGTTATTTTTGTGACATATGATCTTATTAACAGTTTGTGTAATGGCATGTGTCATGACTTTTGGTTTTGTTTTATAGGATTCACAGTCCAGCGTGGGAAGTCCATCAACCCGGATTTCACATGGCATTATTGGTGCAGAGGATGAGGAATTTGATGCTGAACCAGAACAGGTAAATATATGGTTCCAAGAATGTGAAGGATTCACCGCAAAACCAAACAATGGGAAACTGTAGTCTTAAGTTGGCCATATACACCTATAGATTATCTGCAGATTTTCTATGGTCAGATGGAAAAAGTGCAACAGATTCTTCCATCTACGCTAAACTGTGTGGCTGGAGGAATCTCCCACTGGGCCAAGCTTCGGTATCTTTCTAGTCACCCCGCTGGCTGTCAGAATACCTGAACATTCTCCACAAGCTGTGTAGCTCGCGGTATACTGAGACCGCTGCAGCTGCGTGATTGACAGCTGGTTCTGCCTATCTAGAGGCAGAGCCAGCTGTACCCGCCACTCACCTCATAGTTCTCCTTTTAATTATAGGAAATCCAATTACATTTAGTATATGTATTACCACATTACTACCATGACTTGCATGGATTTCCAATTAGAAATAAGCAGTCTGTGAGAGAAAATAATTCTGACTTTCTTTTTAGAAAGCCCAGTATGCTCTCCCATACTAGCACCTCACATCAGAGGTCTCTTTTGAAAAATCAAGAATGTGTTTTATTAATATGGATATTTTATATAAAAGATCTTTTTTTTTAAATGTGTTAACATGGAAATAAATTATTATAAAGTGTCTATGTCCTTTCAGCAGGTGAATGATCAGTGCAGCTGCTTCCAAAGTATGGATATGTTGAAGTCTCATCCTGCTCACCTTGCGGTCTTCTTGTTCCATGTGGTCTCTCAGTTTGACCCGGGTCCATTGGTATGTTAAAGAATACATTTATTTTTGTTTAATCACCTTTTGTTTGTGAATGTGACCCCTTGGTAATTTGCTTTGTTCTTCTCTTACTGCCCAGCTCTGCTACTTGTATGGTGACTTTTATAAGCAAATAAACCCAAAGGAGGCACGCAGAGTATTCCTGGAAATCTACCAGTTCTTCCTAGAGAGAACAGCGGTGAGACTTTTTTTTTTTTTCTTTTATGCGATGTGACACAATCATTTATTGATAGGCAAGCTACAAAAATGTCTGTCAAAAAGAACAAATGTATAAATAAAATAGTTGCATGTTTTAACCATTGTCGGCTTTTAAAGGGGATTTGGAGTATGAACTAGAAACCCCCATCTGGCACTCTTTTTTAGAGTTGTGCCCTCAGACTGGGTGTTTCATTGTTAGAACTTTGTTTTCTGGTCAGCCTGGTAATGTGGCTTGACCAGTCATATAAACTGCTGTTGTGTGGGCACCAATATATGCGAAACATGTGACCTTATTCTACCCAGCTGTACACACAGCACTGGAAGAAGATTTCCACGGGTGGTTGCATAACATATGGTTTTAATGGAGGGATCAGAAGAAGTGGAAAATGGCCGACTAGGGGTGAAACCGCAGAAAGAATATAAAAGTGATGGTTTGGTTTGAGTTATTCAGTTTAAGAGTACTTATTTCCTCTAAGAATGGAAACCTTTAAAGGATCAGTCCACCTAAAACTAATATTTGAACTTTTGTTAGGTGATGTAGATTTAGGGCTCATTCACATTATACATTGAATTAACGTGTGTTGAGTTGCGCTGCATTATGGTCAGCCACAATGTTTAAGTAGGTGGTACCTGTCAAAGCAACATCCACATAAATGGCAGGACCCAAGGTTTCCTAGCAGAACATTGCCCAGAGCGTCACACTGCCTCAGCCAGCTTACCTTATGGTCATAGTGCATCATGGTGCCATCTCTTCCCAAGGTAAGTGCCGCACAGCCACCCGGCCATCCACAAGATGTAAAAGAAAATGTGATTTATCAGACCAGGCCAACTTCTTCCATTGCTCCATGGTCCAGTTGCTCATGTGTCTATTGTAGGCACTTTTGGCAGTGGACACAGGTCAGCATTGGCACCTGACTGGTCTGCAGTTACGCAGCCTCATACGCAACCAGCATTAACTTTTTCAGCAATTTGAGCTACAGTAGCGCTTTTATTGGATCAGAATATATGGGCCAGCCTTCGCTCCTCACGTGCATCAATGAGCCTTGGCCATTCCTGTCTCCCGTTCACTGGTTTTCCTTTCTTTGACCACTTTTGGTAGGTCCTGACCACTGCAGACCATGAACATCCCACAAGAACTGCAGTTTTGGAGTTGCTCTGACCCAATCGTCTAGCCATCACAGTTTGGCCCTTGTGAAAGTTGCTCAAATCCTCACGCTTGCCCACCCATTTCCAGGTGTCATTGTAATGAGATAATCAATGTTATTAACTTTACCTGTCAGTGGTCATAATGCTACGGCTAATCGGTATATATCCCTCTTGAAGTTTGGTGGGGAGAGCTCTGCATTTGATTTCTTAGGCTTGCACATCTGCTGTAAACATTACAAAGGGTATCCTTTCTCTCCGTTTTTTTTTCTGAGCACCTTTGCTGTAATCTGTTAATCTGTAATCTGTTAATCCTGTCCTTTTATAGAAAGACTTTGGACTGAAATTTGAGAATAGTCTTTCTCTCATTAACATGCAATTCACAGGCAAGGGTTGAAATCCTTTAACCCCTTTTAGGACAGGCAGTGTTCATATCTACTTTACAAACTATAATGAACAAACCACTCGCCCCTCAACCCATTACAAAGAAGGAGAAGCAAGTGCCATGTTTAACCCTTTAGAAGCCAACATACCCTAACCCATGTAAAAAGCTATTTACATTGCAGAAAGCATTTTTTTTTTTTCTATAGCTTATGCTATGTGAATGTGAACATGTAAAAATATGAAATAGGTGTTATTACAATTTGGCTGCTAAAGTGGAAAAAGTCTCATCTTTCAGGTGACGGGAGTTCCCAAAACTCACCCCTTTTACTGTATATCAATGCAAAGAGTCCTAGTACATATGAGGGAAAGCACATTAATTAAAATTAGTCTTTGGCTGTATCATAGCTGAGCAGTTCATCAAAATACTGCTTTGAAATTGTTTTGTATGTTTGATGTTTGCTATTATTTTAAAATAAATCCTACACAGTAGAGAGTGTATGTAATGTAGGAACAGGCTGTAATGTTACCTGGATTTTCTGTTAACTTTTTGCATGCCTTGTTTAAGATTTGGGAGCTCTCCATATGGACAAGCCTGCAGTCATGTCATCCAATGTTAGGTTGGGAGCTCTTGCTTGCCCTCCCAGCTTCCTTATTGCAGTGTAGGTTGGCTGCTCAGATCTCTGTAATTGCATTGTACAATGGTAGTGGAGTTCAGGCTAGACCTTCATCTTCAAGGTCTAGCCTGAACTACCCGGGAGCACTGAAGAAGGCAGGAAATCAAGTAACAGTGCATACAGAAATCTTGTAGTGTCTGTTTGTTATGAGCTTCTATTAATTGTGTGTATTTTCTAATGTGTTCAGTTTACTTTAAAAAAGAAAAGATCCTGGTGTAAAAATTAAATATAAAAAGGGAAAATACATTTATTCTATTCTTTGATTCAATTTTGTGATTTTTTTTTTTCAGATCTTTTTTTGAGTTTTGATTGTTGTTTTGATTGTTTGTTCTAGAATCTTCGGGTTTCTGTCCCAGAAGACCTTGCACTGGAGTTGGGTAAGTTTCAGTTGACTTTATAATTTTTGTGAGTCTGTCTACTTTGCATGAAACACTTCAGTGGTCTGTGCTTGCATGGGTTTCGTTACATAGAACAATATCGGACCTCTGAAAAGTACAAGCATGCATATGTACTCAGTACTTGGTTTGGGCCCCTTTTACAGCACTTACTGCAATTACTTTTGCACAATATTCTAATCGAGTTTTACCTGTATATAATCTGTAATGAATAACTGTGCTCTGCAGTTGCATCATTTTTCAAACATGCTAAAGGTTTTCTTTACCAAAATTTCCAGATTTGTTTTTTGTTCAGGTATTGTGTACACGTGCAATTTTTTTAACGTATAAAGTTAAGAGTTAGCTTTGACTGTCACCCAGTAGACTATCAAATGTAGGAGGTGATGTTCTGATTTTTACGCAGCCCTTTGATGTGCTCTTCTGTTTTTTTTTCGTGTTTTTTTCGTTTTTTTTATATCCTACAGCTGAGTATGTTCATAACTTTAAGAGTTTCTCTAGAACTGACCTACACCATCTGCGTAAATTAAGCCTTATAGTGACCAAGTCACTGAATATTAAAAACTCACTAGCCACTAACACAATAGCCAATATCAATATTAGTTTCTTGTTAGCTACAGATTGAAAACAAAGTGTCCATAGTCTGATCCTCTACCTTTCCCTAAACCAACCAGGGTTGTTTATGTAGTGGTGCAAGAAGGTACATTAATGGAGTGTACCAAAGAGGACTGCACAGCAGTATAACACTGATAGGAAATGGAAATCTATTAAATGGGAAATATGATGGGCACAATGCCTGATGTTCTGATTAAAATGTTAGTTTCCCGAGGTATCTGTCCTCTCATTTTAATACTGTTTAAATCACTGTCCTGGGACAGCAAGTGAAATTAGATGTTTTGCATATGTGTTGTCCAGTTTATTGTAACAAAGGATTGGAGTCTGTGTGACAAACAACTAGCATTTTTTTAAGGAGGTCAACAATGTCCTTAATGTCCAATCTGCCATCACATTTCCTTTAAGGGCTGGTTAACACCAGCTCTGGTGCGTTCCAGTATGATTTGCAGCTGGAAGGCACTGGAGCGCATCTTCCTTCATCTGAAAAAATAGTACATGCTGCATTTTTTTTAGATCGCACTGGACCAGAACGCAGGCACTGATGTGCCGCACGTTCTGGTGCGGGGCAGCGTGGCTGTAGTGCCAGTGACTTAATCGCACTACCACTACCCCTCCCGCCCCTGAGCACCGGAAGCTGGCGGGTTATGCACCCCAGTGCATTCCAGCAGCGAATGGTGCTGGAATGCATCGAGGCTGTTGTGAACCGGCCCTTAAACATAATTGGGAATGCACTCACTTCTCATGGTTACCAGAAGTGGGCAGTTCAGCGTGATGCAGTTCTCTAGCATTCAGCTGTGAGCACATAAGACATCTATCTCTGACAGGCGACTGTCAGTGCTGTTAAGATGGAGTGGGGGCACCTGAACCAGAGGATAGCAGTGTCAAAATGAAAGCTTTATTATCTGCTGAATAATGTATTTTCTGCATCCTTGGTCACATCATTCCATTCTAATGAACATACATTATAACACAGACTGAGAATTTATAGAGGAGAGGATTGCTACAGAGGGAAAAGCTAATTAGTCAAAGAATAAAAACTGTTACAAGCATCAAACTCCTATTCCAGTGTTCCTAACCTGCAATAAAAATAAACAGTGTCTTTCATATAAATTTAAATAAAAGCGTAGAAATTATAGATTAAATGGCTGATATAAAAGGGCTTTGCGTACGTTACATTTCATAATGAATTTTATCTTTTCCCTTGACGATAGAAAAAAGGCGACCAGAATTTATACCGGAAGATTTGCTTCGACAGTATGTCAACACTATGCAGGAGAAGGTGTACCCAGAAGTACAGAAACTGTTAGAAGACTTTAGGTAACATTCATTTTGTGTGTGTTTGACCAAACTAAATAAAAAAAGTGGAATTTAATAAACTCCGTTAAAAATCGAACTTTGTCTGACAGGCAGAAACGCAGCATGGGTCTGACGTTAGCAGAGAGTGAACTGGCCAAACTGGATGCCGAACGTGCCCGAGAACGACAGACGCTTGAAAAAGAAAGACTTTGTGCGGAATCAATCTTACAGAAAATTGATGACATTTTGTAAGTAAAGCACTGTTTTGACCAAACCACTAATTTTCTTCATGTTAAACACCCATAATCGTATCGTTATCGGTGCATCATTAGTATATACCTAGTAGTGAAAGAGTTAATGCTCTGGCACGCATTTCCATGTGTCCCGGGTTCAAGCAGGAAAGCCTCCTGGCTAGGCAGGCCTGGTTGTTTTTTGTATGTGAAGCCAAAGGTGGTTCATGAAAGCCAAATTGATCTGGTGACAAACGCATGTTTCATTTGAGGAGATCTCTTCACTGCCTTACCTGCATTAATGCTTTATTTTATGAGGAGGGGAGGCAGGGTAAAGCAGCACTTATCTCCCTCTGTGGTTGCTCCACACAAAGCATTATGCCCAGTTGCTCACATCTGAGTCTAAATGGGAGAACTTTTGATTACGACATCCTGTTTGCCAGGGGACGTTTTCTAGTTGTCACAACAACCTAGTTACAGGAATTTGTCCAGCCTTTATTAAATTGGCTTCGGTCTTGGAAAATGTTTGGTGTATTTAGTCACAGAGCAACTGTTAAAAGAACCAGAGAAATGGCTAAATACACAGTTTAGGAGAATTAGTAAGTGCAAGGAGGGCAGTATTCAAGTGAACCTGTTGCTTTGCATGAGCAAAGCACAGATTCACTTTAAGTATGTATATGTAAAGTCATATCTAATAGAGATTTGACCTTCACTAATGATAGTTTGATATACTGTATGTTTAGTAGCCAGTTGGCTTCTATTGATATGTAGAAGCAAGTTCTTACAGTTATAAAGTTGACATCAAATCAGATGTTCAACCAGGATATTTGCTATGAGGCAGTCCATTTTTCTTCTAACAATCACTTCATTCTGTATTGCAGATTTACACCACAGCCAACCGAGGAAGAAAAATGGTAAGATTCTGCATTATCTGTAGATGATAAAATAAACAGAAAAATAATTTGTTTTATTATCAGCAGTGCTTGAAAACACATCTGATTATTAGCCTATAGTCCCAAAAAAGCATCCTCCTCACGTGTTGTATTTTACTTTTTTAATTAAGAAAGGAGAAACAGTATAATAAGCTGATCTCAAAATTATTAATGAGGGACCAGGAAATATGTTGGCTTAAGACCTATAATACAAAATGAAATCTCATAAAACAAACTTCACCCCTAGCTACTCACATCTGTCGTTGAACAAACAAAGGGGAGTAAAGTTGTATCGTAATATTAGCTGTCTGCATGGGTAACCACTTAACAATTCTTGAATAAATACATTGGCACAATAAGGTTAGAACTTTCCAAAAGAGCCCAGATGACAAAAAAATTAATTGTAGGGCTAGGAGGGAAGTGGGTGTGTGTGGGGGGGGGAGGGGGGGCAGAGGGGGGTAAGGCTAAATTGTGATGCAAATATGTTGCACTCGGTCCGTGAACAAACACACTAATAAGTGTTTATAAACGATCTATCTATATATTAAAGTGAAATAATCTGTGTAGAAAATTGAAATGTTTTAAAAAGTATTTTTGTTAAACAATAAAAAACTGAAACCTTCTCAGTTCGTGCCAATGATCAACATTAGTGAATTGATGTGTACATCCCGAATTTGTGAACCTCTGAATAGTGATATAATAAAACCGATGGATTTACATTTCTAAAGTGATAGCAATACAAAAACACACCTCTCGAGGGACATAAACCATTTCATACATATCCTGTGAACAGGATTAAGGTGGATACTTTGCTTCTCTCAGTGATATTTGGTTAATTTGTCCAATAGTCCTCAAATTATTCACTGAGAATTCTCCAAGTGGGTCTTTAGTTTAAAAGGTCTTTGGTTTCTAATTTTCTAACCCCTTCTGATGTCTCTTTGTCAGGCAACCTGGCATGGTTCTCTCATTCCACTCCGGTTGGCTGATCTCTTGCCGCCCGAGCCGGCGGCGTTCACCTGATAGTATCCCACCGGGGAAAAAAGAGGAGGCTCTCTAAGTGCAGTAACTAAAAATATTTATTTCGTAAAAAAGTTTTTAAATAAAGTTTTAGTGAGAGGTGAAGACAGGATTACTTTTTGAGAAAGTTATTGAACGAAACGCGTCAAAGGAAGACTCTCCATCTCTCGTAGCTGAGTGCTGATAATGCTCAAAAGCTTGAAATTTCGTTGTTTCCGTAAGTGCATTTGAGTTTTTTACGAAATAAATATTTTTATTTACTGCACTTAGAGAGCCTCCTCTTTTTTCCCCGGTGGGATACTATCAGGTGAACGCCGCCGGCTCGGGCGGCAAAAGAGATCAGCTAACCGGAGTGGAAGGAGAGAACCACGCCAGGTTGCCTGACAAAGAGACATCAGAAGGGATTAGAAACCAAAGACCTTTTAAACTAAACACCCACAAAGATAATGATAATGCCCAAAAGTTCCGGCATTTATCAATCCAAAAGCAACAATGCATTCATAAATGATAGGATAGGTATGTCAATTTTTGGCACATCCGAAATGGTAGGATGAGCTAGGTCTCACGAAGGTGTGTGCATTGCTGACCCTCAACATGGAGCACTGGTGGTTTTGCCTGATTGACCTTGCATTGATAATTAAGCTGTACATGCATGGGGAAAAAGACAGTGGATCATTTAATGCTGTTATCATATATGGTACAGATAAATATTATTGCAATTGAACAATTACCTTCATAGATAACACGTGGAAGACCTTACACGAGGTCAGGAAGTGAGATGAAACGTCCCAAGTGGGGACATAGGCTACTAGAAAATGTATTTTTAGTGGTCCCTGTGTCCTAGCTAGAATGATTTCCCGATCTGCTAGGCATGAAAATAGACAGGAGGTAAGACGAGTCTTCCAAATGTGGACACCACAATCAAGCTTGTGATTGTGGTGTGGAAGCAGCAATAAAAAGTTCTAATCTAGGCTCTAATCTGCCCGTACCCTCTCCAAAAAATGTTGGTGCTTAGCATTTTATTTTTAATGTGTAATGCAACCACTGGAGAACTTTACTAGGACTACATGATCAAGAACTGCCATACACCACTAAATCTACTAAGGGAGGGGGCGTGTCCAAGATGGCGACCGGAGCACACGTGTAATAGCTGTGCTCCGCCACCCTATCTATTATCCTGTGAGTTATAGCCCTGTGGAGTGCTCGTTTCGATACGGGACCAGGACCTACCACTCTCCTATACCGGAGGGTATGTCTCGGGGGCGCCGTAAATCATCTACAGGCCGCCCCAGTACCCCCTCACCCTTGCCGGCCCGCAGCAAGAAACAACCTCGGGGCAAGATGGCGGCCCAGCCGGAGGAAGTGGAGGAGACTTCGTCAGGCCCAGCCCAGTTTACAGCGGTGATGGCCGCGATCTCTGGTTGCCAAACTGCGCTCACGGCCAAGATGGACCATCTCCAGTCGGACGTGGGCCTCCTCCGACGAGACCTGGACAGATTCCGGGATCGGATGACCGCGGTGGAAGGTAGAGTGGGTGAGGTGGAGGATGTGGTGGGGGCCCATACGGCGACTCTACGCACTTTACAAACCAAAGTCAGGGCCTTGGAGTCCAGGGCGGTGGACGCCGAAAACCGGAACCGCAGAAGTAACCTGCGCATTCTTGGGCTGCCGGAGGGGCTGGAGGGCACTGACCCACTCACCTTTGCCGAATCCCTGATCCGGGCCCTGCTCCCTAAGGCCCAGCTCACGGCCTTCTTCGCGGTTGAGCGGGCCCACCGCATGCCTTCCTTCCAGGGGCCCCCCGCGTACCTTTATTTTCAAACTGCTAAACTTCCGAGACCGGGATGCCATCCTTCGCGAAGCCAGGCTAGTGGGAGAGCTTAAGTATGAAAACAACAAGCTTCTCATATTCCCGGACTATTCTGTGGAGACGCTGCGCCAACGTAAATCTGGGGGGTGGAAATGGGGGGGGGGGGGGGACTGGTGGATATCCTTACCCCCCTATCCTGTAACCTGTGGTGCTCCTGCGAAAGTGCATGGATATACTTCTGGCTTTATTAATTTTTCTCTTTTTATATACTTTTGCGGACCGTTTTGGAGTTGGTTTGTTCTGAAAGAGATTGTCCCCAACTGAATCCTGCAATGTAGGCCTCCCCTTAAGATTACACCCGCGACCTGAGGGACGGAGGTGGAGAGATCCCCTGAGGATACTGTGGTGGAGGGGGTGACCGGACAGAAGAGGACAAGAAGGGGTCATGGTCTTAGTCACCTACTGCCTCCTGAGGGGGCTTACTACGTTGCAGAAGTTGTTCACAGTGATGTTCGTAATTAAGTTTGAACCCTCAAAAGATTTGAGTGCTTCCACAGGGCCCACCTGCTGAATTCAGGGTTGGGGCCCTCCTGTATGGTTTAGAGTTTTAAGTTTACTTCCCTTTGTTGTGTGACATTCCCCCACTGGCTAGTTGCCATGACAGGTTTGGGATTTAGGGCACTTCCTCGTTTGGTAGGTGCGGGGTGGGGGGAGGATGGGGAAAAGGGTCTCGGGGTTATGTGTTGTTAATTTGCTGTGTACTGTCGGTCCTTTATTTTATGTTCTGTTGTTCTAGCTATAGGTGGATCTCTGCTTTGGTGCTCTTTGGGGGTGGG